GTAAACTTTCACTCAATCCACAATAAAAACCTTAAATTAAAAAAAAAAAAAAAAGGCCCTCAAGCTCACTCTGGTGTAGAAAATCTTGAATGTCCAACCAACCACGACTGAAAAAACACTGTTAACATCCTGGCCAGCAACTTTCACTGTCAGTACACCACCTCACTTTCATTTTCTCTAATAAACTAATGTCTCTCAGATTGGTTCCTGGTGAGTGTTTTGGTCTCTTGGCACCCATGCATGCAGAAAGTTTTCCCTTCCAGGCCTACACCTCACCAGGGGTATAACAATGAAGGGTGTAAAAAGAAAATTTTCAGCATGACAGAAATCACCAGAAACAAAGTTAAAACAAAAAACAAGAAAGAAAATATTTGTCACATATCCCAGACAAAGGGACAGCTTGTTTAATATATTTAAAAAAACTCTCTCAGAACATTAGAAAGAAAAAAGAACAACTTACACTAACCCACCCCAAAAAACAGACAAAGAATATGAACAGGCTGATCACAGAAAAAGATATGTGATTACATCTTAGACAGAATAAAAGATGCTTAATGTCTCTCATAATATGAAAGGCAAGTTAAAAAGTACTTTGAGACACCAACGTTCTCCTATTAGAACAACACAAGTCCAAAAGTTTAACAATACCTTGTTGGCAACACTATGGGGATACTCTCACTCTCAAACCGGCATCATTGCTATAAAAGAAAACTTGATAATAATTATGAAAGTTACAATTTCACTCTATCTTTGGCCTAGCAATTTCACTTCTTGGGACTTATCCTACAGACCCATCTGACATCGCCAATGATATCCCTTGTTCCATATTGTCTTCGGAATCTAGCTTGAACCTCTGGAAGTTCTCTGTCAATGTATGGTTGCAACTGTTTTTGTATTGTCTTTAGCAAAAATTTACTTGCATGAGACATTAATGATATTGTCCAGTGATTTCTGCATTTCATTGGATCACCTCTCTTTGGAATGAGCACAAATATGAATCTCTACCAATCAACTGGCCAGTTTCTTGTCATAGATGAAAGAGTGCCTCCAGTGCCACATCAGTTTATAGAAAGATTTCAATTTGTATTCCATCAGTTCTCAGTGCCTTGTTCTTTGCCAATTCCTTCAATGCACATTGGACTTCTTCCTTCAGTATCATTGGCTCTTGATCATAATCTACCTCTTGAAATGGCTGGACATTGGCCATTTCTTTTTGTACAGTAACTATTCCTTCCATCTTGTTTTGATGCTTTCTGTATCATTCAGTATTTTGCCCATAGAATCCTTCAATACTGCAAGTTGAGACTTAAATTTTTTCTTTAGTTCTCTCAACTTGAGAAATACTGACTGTGTTCTTCCCTTTTGGTTTTCTACCTTCAGATCTTAGCATGTGTCCTTATAATATGTGACTTTGTCTTCTCAAGCTGCTCTTGGAAATTTTCTAATCAGCTCTTTTACCTCCTCATTTCTTCCATTTGCTTTAGCCTCTACA